GAGAGAGAGAGAGAGAGAGAGAGAGAGAGAGAGAGAGAGAGAGAGAGAGAGAGCAGACACACAGATGGAGAGCCACATTGTCCATCAACCATGGAAACGTAAACAAATAAACCAGCGAGAGGGGGGGGGGGGAACACCACAAACAAGACAAACACAGGGAGGTAGACACCATCAGCAATGATGGTTTGTCAACTGCAACACAAGCAATGCAGAAAAACAAACCAATGAGTGAAAAGACAAACAACACGAACAAGACAAAAACAGGAAGGTAGATCCCACTGGCAGTGATGCTTTGGCAACTGCAGTCGGGTCCAGTCACACTATGAGGCTACTGAACTGAGAAGGTAAAGAGAAGGCAGAAAGTAACGAGAGAAACAGCAGAAGCCACCGCTGGTGGCGCTTAGCAAAAGCAAAGCTCACCGCATACATGTATACATTGGGCCTCACTCCACTACACATTCTACACGTATGTGATGGTTTTTCACTGGACCAGATGCACTCGGACTGATCCAACATTCTGAATGTATTGGGACCATTACCAGCTCCAGATACATTTAGAATGTTCTAGCAGTGCAGCGAGGCCCAATGTCACATACCTATCAACTAGAAGAGCGCACCACTTACACGTATATATATATATAATATATATATAGATATTTATATATATGAATAGGTTCATCAATTATCGATCAGAATTCGCAAAGCAATTTGGGCTCGTGTCTACGTTGCCATCATCTACAGCTTAACTACTATGTATCTAGTTGTATGCAGCTAATCAACGGGAATGTCAATGAAAATGCCCTGAAGGGGACTGGGTGAGGAGGGGGGGGAGGAAGGGGGGACAGGGCGGCATCACAATATGGATCTGGCAGAACAAAGACAAAAGATATAGATATTGAAAAATAACAGACTACAACCGTTTCTCAACGCATCACTGTGTAATTCCCTCCCCAGCCTCGTCTGTGACTTCCTCTCAATTCATGATGCTCACCAACAGGTGCCGTCATGTTAGCATGCCTCCCGCCATGCAGGGAGGGGTTCTCCCAGTGCCCCCCTCTTCTCTTTGATGTCGTGTACGTTTCACCAGCACTCGCACACCTTGGGCATATATAGTCCCGCCCATCTCTCTTCGCATAGTCCTGTGCAGATGGGATGCAATAAAGAGCCAAAAAAAAAGGAGAAAAGGAAACAGGTGAGACTCCGTGAGAGTTATTCATGGAGTGCAGAATGTGGGTCACAACTTCTCTCAAAAGTGAGAATGGCAAATTTCCAGCTACTGCATCGCAAACAACAATGAGGAGGACCTATGAAAAAAAAAAAAAAAAAAAAACAGAGAACAACAAGGAAGGATCGATCCTCTGGAACATCTGTTAGAATTGGAACGATACAGAGAAGGTTAGCATGGCCCCTGTGCAAGATTTTTTTTTAAACGGAGAAGGGCAAAGAGAAAGATAAAGAACAAAGAAAAAGTAACCTGCATGACGATCAAATTACCCGACAGTTTCACAGCTGAGAGGAGCAGAACAGGGATTAAACGGATTGGTAGGCAAAATTAGCATATAGGCTAACTTAGGCAGGGGTGAGAGATGGTATATCCTTCCTCGGCGAAGTAATCAATGCCGTCTACTCGGGCCTCCCAGCCATAATGGGGGGGAGTGTGAGTGAGTCTTTTATGTATTCAGTATTGACTTGCCGGGGGAAAGGAACCGGACTGTTGCTCCCCAGAATGGTAGGAGCCAGAGCCGTGAGGCTCTGTTAAAAAAAAAAAAAAAAAAAAAAAAAAAA